AGGCACTTCCAATGAAGCTTCCCACCAAACTCTTAGTAAAAAACTGTATTCTCTTAAATGATGCCACTGAGGCCAGCTGCATCACAGCTAGCAAAGCTTCCGACCGAAACTGCAGTTCCTCAGTTACACAATGTGATGACAAATATATCTAAGCTCCGCCTATGTGACAACTTCCACCTTTGCAATCCACTCTCAGTAGAATCACAAAAGCTGCAAAGAAAAGGCTCAAGGATGAAGTGCCTCATACAAGACCCTGTTCCAGACAGTCCCAGCAGAGCTGAGGCATTCTGCTGCCCTGGCCTCCTAGCATAAAATAAACTCTTCTTCTCTGATGAGCTAAAACCGAGAGGCAGTTTCCATACCTACAATAGAAGCACAAGAACTTCTTCACCAGTTCGCAGTCATCTACTCAGATAAATAGATCTCTCAAAGACAAAAATATTTTTTTTTAAAATTGTGCTAGTTGCCCTTCCACTCCTCTGTCTCGCCAACCACTGAGAACTGCTGAAACACTCTCGTGGTCAGTCTAGTCTCCTGGCACCTGTGGGTTTTCTGTACCTCTGTAAGCGTGATTCGAGGCAGGGCAGTCGCTCCTCTCTCAAGCTGCCTCCACACAACTCCCCTGTTCCTGGTACAAGGAGATCAACAGCTGCAACCTTAAAAGAAAGAAACCTAACATAAGTCATGCCGTATAGCCATACAGTCTACAGCAGAAGTACAGTTGACACTGGATGGCTGTTTGCAAAAAGATACTGTAACTGTTTTATTGAGTCCAGGACACTTAGGTAAGTATTTGCAAATGCTTGAAAAGTCCTTTGTTGACAGGAGAAGGCCGCAAGGGAACTTTGCAATGATAAAAATCAGTAAGCCTACAGAAAACCTAAACAAGTGCAGTGATGTTCCAGACTGAGGACATCTACAGCAGGTGGTGTGAACTGAACCCCACCAGGTTACTCTGGTGACAACCTGTGCATGTAGGCAAGCCTGTGCAGGGTATAAAGAACCCAACAGCAGCTCACAAGGAGGCAAAGACACACGGCAAGTTTCCTGAAGCCCTCATTCCCTTAGAGTTTAAGCTGCTCTGATGCTTGTAACTTGTGTTTACCCCGTCTGCTCCCATTCCTTGAGCCAGCTCTAGTGGTAATGATACCAATGGATCAATGGCACTGACGTGCTGATCCAAGCGTTAGGATCCCAGTGTTATCACCTATGCTGTTAGGTTTGGGCTGGTTTTCTTCTCCGTTTTGTTTTGCAGAAACAGCTGAACTGTCTCTAGAATTAAAGCCAGTAAAGAGACAGTGGCACACGGTGGGGTAGTTGCTCTTTTTAGTAGAAGCAATGTTTCACGTTGTCTGAGTTCAATTGGGAAATCACACCTTCAAAGCATGAGGCTTGCGGAGGAAGAGTTTATGTCTTGTGTTCATCTGCTATTTGAGGATTATACGGATGGTAGATTTGGATGACAAGAGAATCACAGGCTGCTTGGAGCCATGCAATTCTAAGCATTTCACCTAGTAGTACAGAAGTCTCCCAGGAAAAGAAACAAACTATGGCAAATCTGTCTTAAAAGGACTTAAGCAGAAACTTAACGCTACCCAACTCCTGAATCCTCCTCCTATTGTTCCTGCTTTGGTGATTTCTTCTACAACAGGAAAACGACTGAACAGGATCACCTGATGATCACGTGTTATCTTGGACTTCTTGACTTGAGGCCCAGCAGAAGACTATCCTCATCTGTCTATCTATCAGTAGGCTAAGACACATACCTAGCCAAAAAAGAGGTGGAAGTGTGACCTATGGACTCACTGTGTGTTGAGGGCCATCTTCATCATTGTCCCGCATGTAGAAAGGTTTGAGGTCGTATGGGTAGTTAATCACAAACACGGGAACCTCACCACAGTGCTTCACCAGGTACTTTTCATGTTCTGTTTGGAGGTCACAGCCCCACTGTAAAGACAGCAAAAAGGACCTGGGATCCTGCCTTGGTGCACCTTGCCTGTGGCAAGAGACACAGCAAAATCCCTGCGTAGGAGAGACGTGCAGCTTTGAATAACGAAGCACAGCAACTTCTCACACAGGCCACTGGGAAAATTTACTAAGCAGACAGAGTTTCACGAGTTTTAAGGCAGAGCAAAGCAATGAAAATAACATGGTTTAACTTCCACAGAACATGGCCAGATCATCCCTGCATCAAGCCCAAGCATCTGGTATCAAATCAGAAAAAAACGCAAACAAACAAACAAAAACCCCAAAACCACACTCCACATAGCTTAAGGGAAATAGGCACCTATCCAAAATCAGCTTACTCAACCCAGCAAACCACCCTTATTTCAGTATTACCTTTGGTATACAGAAAGCAGCTTTACTAAGCTGACTGCTCTCTTCCCTGCTGTGTCCTGTTACATGCTACGTTAATTCTCATTTAAGAAAACCCAGTGTCCTATCAATCAATTCTTTGTTATCAGAAACCTTGGACATCTGCAATTTCCTTCACTTCTCCTTTCTTCCAGTGATGTTATAAATTCTGTGCCTTTTGACTAGAGACCTCCAGTCCATTATAGGATGTGCCAAGAATATCGGGGGAGTGGAAGGGGAAGAGGGGAACAGATATTCTGCAGACTCTCCTCATCTGAAAATATCCCGAGTTTGCCGTCTCAGATCAAGGTAGTACATAGAGATACAGGATTTGAGGTTCTACACCCACTTGTACACAGAGATGAGGCAGCTACCAACTGGCTATGAAGGTGGCTTCAGCCAGAGGGTTATTTTCCTCAAAGCATCAGAACGAGATAAAGACTAATCAGTATATACATGAGATGAGCACCACGACAAACACTCTCCCTGCTGGTGTGTGTGTTTGAAATTGGACAAAATGTGATTTTCAGAAAACCATAATCTGACAGTGTTAGAAAGACTAGCATGTGATTCTTTTTCCCAGTCAACATCTATACTTTGGAAAGACAAGGGATTCCCTTTACCTACATCTAGATTACACGGTATTTTGACATGGTTTTGGCTTATTAAACCTTGTCAAGCTTTTGGTGCTGTCCTAGTACCATTCCTTTATTCGAGGACCATTACAGCAACCCTCCTTAGATGACTGCTGCTGAATCCACAACACACTCGGCACTACTCGCATACAGGACAGAGAAGCGCCTTTGCCAAGGCCTTGGTCCTTCAACAGCAAACTCATCGCTTCCTTCCCTGCAAACAGAACTCCTTATATTGCTCCCACTTCACCCTCAAAGGGGAAAAGTTATACCTGGGTTACAACTGAGCAAACACTCCAGGAGGCAGATAAGCTGTGCGAAGTAACAACTCTTGTGGTATCAGAAAGAGAGAAATGAGATCTACAAAGTTCAGGCTGGCTGCGTGCATGAACAGGCACAGGGACAGGGACAAACCACCAGGCAACTACCTACCTCTGGCTTGAAAGTGAAAGTCTGAGAAGCTTGCTTCAAAATTTCCACTGCTTCATTGTAGGAAATTCTGCAGGAGAAAAAAAAAAAAGGCTTTAAGATAACTATGAAAGGAATAACAAGGAAGTTTTCTGGCTAAGTGCCGCACTGGAAAATTAAGGAGGCATTTCCCCACCACCATGCCAATTTGTGTTGTGATGTCAGACTTCCCAGCAATGCTTCTTTGGACAGAAACCAAAGAACATTTTCTATGGCAAGAACCCTATGTTTTCCTGTGCTTCAGCTACACGCAGGGCAGGAAGCGCTAAGCTCTCAAGACACTTTTCCTTATTACAATGTTACATTTCAGTCAGAAATGAGCTCTGCAGAGAATTGCTTCATAGAAATTTGGGGATTTTTTTTAAGAAAACAATGTGCCCTCATTGGCACAGCTCCAACAACATAGCTCCATTGGTCAGCATGGTGTTAGGCAAAAATAACAGCCCAGAGTGCAAACGGCTTGTAACTCAAACATTTTCATTTTACTTTGTAAAAATTGCAAGATTTTTTTTGCAGCAATGTTTCTCTACTCCTCTGACAGATCTGAGAGCAGATTCCCCGCTGACTTCCACCAGTGACTTCCACCAGTACAAAAGAACAGCATCATGGCAGAGCAAACAGAAGAAGTGCAGTGAAAAATGCTGCAGGTTTGATAACTGGAAATCAAGACTCAATGGATGATACTTTTGCTGACAAGTTTTCCACATACCAAACAAATGTTGCGGACAGACAGAAGAAAGAATAACCCAATCACAGTAACTTCGTCTCTCCGTATCATGGACTAAATCCAATTATAAACCAAATTCCCTAAAGAGCACAAGCTCTTTACACCCAGCTACAAGGTTTCACTAATACAGGGAAGGCTCCTGGAGGAAATACCTCAGGAAGGAATATATTGCTCCATGTGTTTGGGTTATGCGAGGCCATGGTCCAAATGAGGTATATCACTGGCACGGATTCAACACATGTAAGTGATGTGTGTAAGCCACGAATGCCCCGGATCTGCCAGCAGCTGACGAAGAGAGGGAGGGAGGGAGAGAGGGATGGGCTGACTCACTCTCTTTTCCCTTGGACCATGGGAGAAGCTGAGTGCAACTCTCTCCTCTCAGGAATATCAGTTAGGTCCAAAGAGAGAAGGACTGAAATGGGGAGAGAGTGACTTCCCTGAGGTCTCCCACGGTGCTTACGCAGGCACGAGGCACAGGGAGGATCCATCACGATCCTGTTGCCCGAGCATGGCTGTAGCTGCTTAACAGGAAAACCAGTGCCGGGCTGAGCAGCCCGACAACGTTCTGTGGGATAAATGGAGAGCACTGCTGTTCGAAGAGACAGGCAAGAGTAGGGAACAGGAGGTATTCTTGGGGGCCAAGGAGGGAAACCAAAACCCTTCAGTTCTTTAGCACACAGAGAACTGGGAAAAGGAGTTGCACAAGCAATTGGGAATAGAAAACCAATTGGGATTTTTAAATATAAAAAAAATACTTTTATAAAAAGGGAACCATTGGAGTGGAAGTGTGAAGGGAGGCAGAGCACCAAAGCCAAGACCAAGCAAGACAGTGAGCAAACCACTGCGCAAGCACATGCTGGAAGGAGGATACCCTAACAGAAAGAGAATCTTGTCCAGGGAAGCAAAAGCCAAAGGCCAGCAGATTCAGATGCCAGCCTCATGCAGAGATGAAAGGGCAACTGGCGAACAGTACAAAGGGAACTGCAATTCATGCTCTTTTGGAGACGTTATGCTAACGCAGAAGACACTGAGTTGGGAAAGAAAAAGAACATACACAAAATAGGAACTCTTAAGACAAAGATCATACACAAAATAGGAGCTCTTTCCCCAAAAGGCCTCCCCTCTTATATTTTGAAATAGAAATACTTACATCACAAATTTGTTCTTCAGCATTCGTTCCAACCTGTCCTTGGTCAAAACAAGAGGAAAAAAAAAAATGTAAAGCTACTCTTAAGGGTTCAGGGGCCCAGAGGAAACTCAGAAAAGCCACCTCCCTCTAAGTTTTTATTTGTAGGTCTGCACTGTGTTCTAGATAGAATCATAGAATCATTTAGGTTGGAAAAGACCCTTAAGATCTTCAAGTCCAACCGTTGACCTAATATTGCCAAGTGCACCACTCAACCATGTCCCTAAGTGGCCCATCTACACGTCTTTTAAATACTTCCAGGGATGGTGACCCCACCGCTTCCCTGGGCAGCCTGTTCCAAGGCTTGACAACCCTTTTGGGGAAGACATTTTTCCTAATGTCCAGTCTAAACTTCCCCTGGAGCAACTTGAGGCCATTTCCTCTTGTCCTATCGCTTGTTACTTGGGAGAAGAGACCAACCCCCACCTCACTACAACCTCCTTTCAGGTAGTTGTAGAGATCGATGAGGTCTCCTCTGAGCCCCTTTTTCTCCAGACTAAACAGCCCCAGTTCCCTCAGCCGCTCCTCATCAGACTTGTGCTCCAGACCCTTCACCAGCTTCGCTGCCCTTCTCTGGACACGCTCCAGCACCTCAAGGTCCTTCTTGGAGTGAGGGGCCCAAAACTGAACACAGGATTCGAGGTGCGGCCTCACCAGGGCCGAGTACAGGGGCACGATCACCTCCCTGCTCCTGCTGGCCACACTATTTCTGATACAGGCCAGGATGCCATTGGCCTTCTTGGCCACCTGGGCACACTGCCGGCTCATGTTCAGCCGGCTGTCAACCAGCACCCCCAGGTCCTTTTCCTCTGGGCAGCTTTCCAGCCACTCTTCCCCAAGCCTGTAGCGCTGCATGGGGTTGTTGTGGCCGAAGTGCAGGACCCGGCCCTTGGCCTTGTTGAACCTCATACAGTTGGCCTCGGCCCATCGATCCAGCCTGTCCAGATCCCTCTGAAGAGATATGGATCAAAATCCACTCCCAGTCATTCAGTGCTAAAAAGGTACCTGATTTTTGGAGCTGAGGATTCAGAGGCTGCTAGATGATGTGACAGCTATAGTTCTGCCACGCTTGCTAACAGCTACAGAAAGCTGTGTGTCCTCTCTGTGTTGGCCTGAACAATCACTTAAGCTCAGGCTGACTTTTGGTTTCTTCATAGTTTGTTAACAGAGTAATAAAAAAAAAAGAAAAAAAAAAAAATTAAGCCTCCCTATTGACAAGAGCCCTTAAAATGCATAAAAGGATTGCAGCTCTTTCCTGTCACATTTATTACCTTCTGGGCAGGAGCTATGTATTTATGAAAAAGCTCAACATCATGAGGACACTTGGAGAGCACAGTGTTTGTCGCTGTCTTGAAAAGATCTTCCATAACCTAACAGAGAAAACAGGAGTTTTTAAATGAAAAATTAATACTGCTTAGATGTCCCAGACTATAAATAAAACACGGTAGACATGTACACATCAGCCAAAGGGTACAGAAGGAGCTTCTGTCCTTCTGCATGGTCAGACTGCATAAGAGGGTACCAGCTTGCTAAGGCTCCTAATTAGCAGGCTTGCTCAGTAGCTGAAGAGGAATGGAATCTGTGTTTCTGCTATGGGTTCGGGGCTTCACTGTCTGCTGATGGCCTCAGTACCTTCACTCAGGTATCTCCAGTGAAAAAAGCACAGCTAAAACATTCAAGCAGCAGTCCTGGTCAGCCACAAACAGAAACGTTACAGCCATTTGTGGTGACTGGTCTCAGATTAATTATTACTAAGGTGCCTTTCCTGTAATGAACAATTCAGGTTTTCTGCTTTGTTGTTACAAGAGGCAGACCTAAAGGAGAGGAGAATAAACGTGTACTGTGTGGAGCCAGCCCATCAAAAACAGATCCCAGCTAGAGAGACTCTGCGCAGTAAGAGCAAAGCAAGGAGAACGCGTACAGAGACCAGTAGAGAGCTAAAGCGGAGAACACATCAGTGCAGGGATGTTGAAGAAACTAAAAAAAGATGTGGTTTCATTTCCCTAAACTAATGTGGATTAGCTAAATGACATTAACATCCAATTTGGATATACTTATCCAGTAAAATGGGGTTCACCCATGAAGAAATTAAAATGCCATTTTGGTTCTAAACAAAAAAAAACCCAAGTGGGATGCCACTGCATTTTTATCAACCCGTTTTAAAAGCAGTTTTCTCTTTTGGTTAAGCAAAGCAGGCCAAGACACTTGCTGTCATGCAGATTAAGAGTTCCCATGACTCCTCGTAGTCCCATGCCTGCACAAAGCAGGTAGTCGATACCTGTGTAGTACTGATGATCCCAACTCTTCCTCAAAATTACGCCCTTTATTCTCATCTCCTTTGTAAGCAACAGAGCAATGCAGCTGGGCTGCACGTCATCTCAGCCTGGGACGGGACCAGGTTTTTCCCAACAAAAAGCACCTCTGAAAGTCCTGGCACATCATTAACTGCAGAGTTGAGAGAAGCAAAGTATCCACCAACGATACCACGGCGAGTAGCAGCCCCTTGACACTGCAAAGCCAAGGGGTGACTAACTGCGAAAAGATGAAGCTGACGTTCAGTCAGCAGATCTGAAGAAGCAGCAGGTCTCTGCCTTGCAAGGAACCAGACCTTACAGGGCAAGAGGAACAAAAGGCACAGAAAAGAAGGTGGGCTACTGATATAGACAAGATGAGATTTCAGGCATGTTGTTCAAACTCTCATGTTTAGAAGAACATCCTTCATCACCTGTCCCAAACTGCTGAAAGACTGTTCTGCGCTGATGAACAACCTCTGCATCCCACCAGCCTAGAAAAGCTAGTAAATCAGCTCATTTTGACTCCTCTAGAACCAAACTCAGCCTTCAGACTCCTGCATCGATCTGGGCCCTCTGTTTAAAAAGGGAAGATCCTAATAAAGGAACAGCATTATCATATGCAGATGAACAGTTTTACCCCTACTGGTGCTCAAACACAGAGGAAATGAAAAGCTAGCAT